ATAGTGTATAGCCTTATTCAAACGAGGCTGGAATGTATATAACAACAGAAAAAAGGTGGATGAAGAAGAACTTATTGATAGTAAGATGCTAGTAACAGTTATAACCCAAGAAATTGGTAAGCTCAGGGCTAGAGCCTGAGGGGAAGAAGGTCTTAAGGTGGAGTGCATGGGGACAGAATACCATTAGGAGAGGATCAGTGTGCTTCCTGCAAGCAGAAACAACTCTGGAAAAGCAGATGTCCTCTCTTAAGCTGCCAGGGCCTTTGAGAAATGCTGACACAGGATACTAAATTTGGACTAAAAACCTGGTTTCTCTTTATCTTGCATTTCATGTAAGCTAGAAATGAATCCAAGACTGATATAATCAATGAGATCATTACTTTTCTGTAGAAATTTCTGCACTAATGTGATACTATTGTTAGAAAACATGGCCCTAAACATCTCTTGTTCACAAACTCTCACCTTTGCCTCTTGGCTGAAGCTTTACACGTCTTGGCCCATGAAGCTTTCTATCAGACATATGAAAACTAAAAAGAAGGGATGACCTTTCCTTCGCTCTCTCCCTATCATTTTAAATTTAAATTATAGCCTAAAATGCCTAGATGGACTATATATGAACTCTAAAATGGGACAAGACTGCTGTCTGCTGGCACTTCTTGGATATTACCATGTGAAAGTGCCCATCTATGTGATAGTGCTCATCTGTGTGATATGAGCATCACATAGAATTTCTCCTTAAAATTAATATAGAGGAAGTGGTTTGCATGCTTTTACACAAAAGACACCATGCTTAAGAGAGTGTGCTACTAACAGTGAGATCCATAAAGGGATTTAAGTAGGAAGGTTTTAGACTTGGAACAAATGCTACTGATGTAAGAGAAAGTTTTGACTCAATGAAGGCAAGTAACATCCCTTTAGTGTCGTAATTTGGACATAAAAAGAAAAAACCCTAAGTGCATTTTTAAAAATAATTACATCTAAATTAAAAAAAAAAAAAAAAAAGTTCTCAATTATTTTTAAAATCAGTGAGTTAAGCATACTGTTTTGCTGCCGTAGAAAAGAGGGTATTGCAGAGACACCTATTGCCTGTCCAGTATTTGAAATAACCTTTTGTAGATTTCTGTGTTGATCCTAAATGTTTCATCTTCCCTGAGGCTATAACAGCTCTTCCTAGCTGAGCAGGATAAATTAAAAGAAAGCAATCTGTGACTTCTTCCCAGGATAATTACCTCATTTCAAAGGAGTGTATCTTCTGCTGACTGATTATCAAAATAGTTTCAAGTGAAGCCATTACGCAGCAACACGAACTGCAGGTGCTTATTCATGCTATACCTGGATAGAAGACAAGGTCTGGATGGGCTGAACATCTAAATATTGCATGCACCTTTCTTTCAATGTATTGCCTCAGTATCTGCCAGTCTGCACAGTCTCACACAGATCTTTCATCATACCTGGGCTAACTGGGTATGGGGGAAAAAATGCAGTTTTGTGTCTTCATTTAGTTATGTTTAAGAAAGAAATATGAAAGTACCTTATAACCTGTCACTGGAAGTCCCCTCCCCTTTTAGTCTCCAAAATGAAGGCAAGCTCTTGCTAATAGATTAAGCTTTTTCCTCAGTCATAAGCAACCTGCAGAAGACTGTATTTCTGCTTCCTGCAACAGGCAGACAGAGAACACAAGCTAATTGCCCAGCATCCTACTTCCATCCCTTTAAGAGCAAATGGCAAGTACAATAGCGATTGAAGAAGCTATCCACAGTCTGGCAAGGCTATAAAGGGAAACGCCAGTCTGTAGTAAGCAAATCACTTTCAATGTAAAATAATTGCAGAAGGCTTAAGTTCTGTTATCATCCTGAAGCAGAAAAGTGGGGATGAAAGCACCATGACTATTGCCGTGAAATTGCATAGTGAAAAATAAGTGCAAATAAAACTAGGTAATCGTAACAAAGAATCATTTTTGTCTAAAGGAAGAACTGTTGGCATGATGTATTAATGGGTAATGTGTACAGCAGGAGATATTTGGACTATCACAGACAGAGCAGTGCAGAGGAAGGAAGTGGCCTGTGGTTTCCACAGAAAATTTTTATGGTGACTGGATGACAAAATGAGAGTGGAGACACAGGTGGAATTGTTTTTGTACGAGACTGTACCGTTGTGGGGACAGGGGGATCCACAATGATGCATTTCCCAGGAGGTCTTTACAAAAACCTGTAGTTGCATAAGTCACATGGGAGAGAGTGCAAAGACAACTGGAGAGCATTCTACAGCACGGTGGACATGTTCTGTCTTGATTTCTCTTGACAGACACAGTATGTTTGAACAAACCTTCATTGTCTGAGAGCTGCAAGCCTATCATGTCTGGAAAGCGAGACAGCGGATACTGATGACCTTGAAATAATTTTCAGCACATCAGACTGACTGCAGATGCATCTAAATCTACCACAGTATGTGAAGCAAACGATTTCTTTCTGGTGCAATAATGTTTGCTGCTACCCTCAAAATGGCTTTTTATTAATGTGACAGAAGAATCTGAAATGTAGCATTTATCTTTCAGAAGCAATATAGAAAAAGGTTGTTAGGGCTTTCTCTTGCAAGTAAGTCTCCAGCATTCACAGAATGACTCATGCCTGTCAAGGCAGTGTTTTTCTTAAATCCTTCTCCATGATACCTCATTGCAATTTTTCCTAGTGATGATAAAGGATTTGTCTGAGACCAGCCAAGTGATTCTTCTGGACGGTTCTTGTGTGAATTACTTTCAACCTATCAGAAAATTGAATGGAATCCTGTAAGACTCTCGGGTGGCTGAAGGGGAAAAAAAATGGGTTTGCCTTAATTCACCATCACAAAGGAAAAGCAACTAAATGAAAAGGTGTGCGGCTGTGACCACCACAAAACAATTTGATTATTAAATTTCACAAGTTGAAGAAATAAAACATTCTCAATGTTTAGAGTATAAGCCTGACAATATGGAAGCTGTAGTTATGGAGTAATTATATTTCTAGACATTGACCCCCTTTACACCACTTTGAACAACTCTATACAGTTTATGTCTACAAAATGAGAACAGCACATGATATCAGTGAGGAGAACATGGCGAATAGTTTTTTCAGAACCTCTCTCTAAGAACGAAATATAGACAAAAATACAAGTGAACTCTGAAAAAATGCTCTTATAAATGCTACAGATGTTACAATGAGATTTCAAGCTATTGCTCGGCCGTGGTCATTTAGATAGAGATTAAGTTTCCAGATATGGCAAACACTATTTAAGCTTCTGCTTACTAACCTCCCTTGCAGTGCACTTTTTCTCTTAACTTATGATACAAAAGTATGTCATAGTGACAGTAACATGATTTTTGGTGGTGGCACCAAACTTACAGTGATCGGTAAGAAGATTTTCTTTTTTCTTTCAAATCACTTAAAATCCTGGGTATTATCATCAGATTATTTCACTTTAGCATTCTCTTCTTCTTTATTAAACTGATGTTTTACTGATGTACTAGCTGCCCTGTCTATTTTGGAGGCTAGGTTAAGTTCTATTCTAGGTAAGGACACACTTTTCACTTTGAATAACTGAAAGAAAACATTTTCTGTAATAAAGAGCAGTCTGTCAAACAAATTAGGTTGAGAATGGGTTGAAAAATATATGCGTGTCATCAATATTCTTTATAAATCAACATCTGCAAAAATCACTGCTCTTGAAAAGTGTAACTGTGCTTCCAGGTTATTGTGGAGATAACACTGAAAGGCTACCTGAGATACAGTTACATTTAGGAGAGGTCTCAAGAAGAAAATCAAGACTCTAAAAACAAAGTACTTTAGATCTTATGGGGGTAAACTAACACATGTTAAATCAGATAACTGGGAGAGACATATACCTACTAGTTTTCAGCTAACAAAACAGAAGCAAAAAGTACTCAGCTTTATCACAGGCAATACTAACACTTCTATGCAGCTGTTTAACAATCAGTTGTTCTAGGAAACAGCTGTTCAAAGCATGGCAAGATTCTTTCTGTACAACAAGTTTGTCAGGATTGTGCTAGAAAGTCAGTTTGGAATAGGAATCATACTGTTTCAGAATAGATGATAAAAAGCTGATTAATATCACCTATCACCTAAGACTATTTTCAAATTACAATAACTCTTGGAGTACATTTATTTCTGGGTCATAGGTCAGGATTTGGACTCCTTCCAAATCCAGAAAAAAACAAACATGTTTCTAAGACTGATAGATGATAGAATCGTAGAATGACTTGGCTTGGAAGCGACCTTATGGATCGTCAAGTTCCATCCCCCCTGTTGCAGGCAGGGTTGCCAGTGATGGTGTTCTCTTCTTCTCATTACTGTTATTCCTGGGATTAGAAGAACTGATGCTTTTATAACAGGCCCTTCATTGCAGAGCAAAAAAACTTTCAAGTGATAAAATTCTTTCTCCATATGAAAAAATGGAGGCCTCAATTGAAGGTGATCAATTAATTATTATTTTTTTTTAAATACAGTGTGAATCTGAGGTGCTGATGAAAAACGATGCACTGATCCATCACTGACTGTTGACACTATGAACTACCTTGTATGCTAAAAAAACCCAAAACACTTATTTTACAAGAAAAGGCTATTCATGACATAGAAAGGAGATGGGGAAATAAGGAATTGAGTCCTTTCAGCTGAAAATAAGGAAATAAATCTGCCTTCTCTTTATGAGGAGTATGTTCTAATACTGCATGTTCTTAAGTGTCCTGTGAAGAATTTTTGAAAGATGCACAAATTGATTCACCTATGCCTGAATCAGAAAGCTCTGAAGAGGAATTTCTGGGACTTGTCTCACCAGATTAGACAGACATGCAGTTGCTGTTCCTTTACAGACCTTTCCTGTATTTCCTAGGAGACCATAAATTCATGTGTTTTGTGTTTCATTGTCTACCACATGAGGGAGGGTTACTGCAGAAGCTTTGTTCAGAGAATGGACAGTAGTAGAGAGGTTTTAATGCAGCTGCAAAATAGTGTGACTAATGAAAGATTGTTCTTTGGTACTGGGACAAAACTCACAGTACTAGGTAAGTCAAAAGTCAGATCTCTGTAGTATATGTAATATTGTAGTATTGTTAAGAACTTCTTAACTAACAACAGAATAATGGTAATTTTTCCCCCATCCACAAGGACAGGACAGATGCTTTATAGATTGTTTATTAGGAAAGAAAAAATAAATAAATAAATAAAAAATAAAAATAAAAAATAAAAAAAGGAAGATGGATGTGGAAGCATTGGGTTTGCAGACACTAATTTTAAGATCCATTTTAGCTTTGACTTGTGCTGCTCTGTCTTCCCTGACTGAAAGCTTCATGATGGAAGAAGTGAAAAAAATAACTCTGCTCCCATTGTCCAAGGAAACAGATCCCTCTTTGGTCTGCATGTTTTGTGAGCTCTTCTGTCTCACTGTTTATCAATCAAAAGCAACATTTAGGAGGTATGATCATACTCACTATTCATATTCTTGTGGCTGCTGAATATGGCAGGGAAGGAGCAGATTTCTGGTACTTTGTTTTTCTCACCATAGATGTCAAGCAGGCTGCTTGAAGTTGCACTGGGACAATCACTCCATTTATCTTTCTTTTTCACTGTTCCTTTTTAAAAGGATTTTTAAAAAGTCTGTGTTCTCTTTCTCTCGCTTTTCTGAGCAGAGAAAGTGCCCTATTCTCCTGTATTCCTTCTGTTTTTCTCCATCTACTTTTTCAGCCTTCTCCTGTTGCAGAAAAGAATTTAACACAGCTTATCTGATCAGTTGAGCATTTTGGAATCCCAGAGCAAAACTACTTTTTCCATCTGCCACTGCAAGCTCCGATAGCAAACTGTAGAAATACACACCAGAATACGTTCCTTTGAATATTCCCATTTTAAGGAACTTAGTGACTGATAAGGGCAACACAAGGACTTTGTGGGTTGTAGTCTGATGAAGTTCAGCTTTGTTTTTTAACTGCAGTTATATTTGGAGTTGATATCGTAGTCAAAGTTACGCACAAGCTGCTGTGATTTTGCCCAAGTGCTTAACGTAAAGGTCAATTGAAAATTTCCCTTAATGATATATAGTATACACATAGATTATTTTCAGATGAAAGTATGGGTTAAAGATAACAAGAAATCATGAAAGTGATCTTAGTATGATGAAAATGGAATGGAAGAACTGCGATACGTTTTCTCTGGGATGAGTGAAGAGTATAAGGCAGGGCTTACATGCATTTATGCATGAGAGTGGTGAAGCATTGCAACAGCGATCTTATATGACCAACGTGGATGATCAGAACAGAATGGGCTTTTGACAACATGTTTTATGATTGCCGCTATTCTTACTTGCATCAGTCTCCTTATTCCACTTTAAATACGTTAATTCGTTGGTTATGTTTGGTTGTTTTTTTTCTTTTTAATTCTTTTTACTTTGATTCTCTCTGCAAGCCTTTTTCACAGCTTTCCTTTTTTGTTTTGTTGTTGTTTGCTTGTTTTTAAACCTCCCTCACTATTACTTTGTGTTTTCTTTTCTTCATCTGTTTCCATGTCTTCACTCATTGACCACCACACTGATGTTATACTAGAGATACATTAAGAGCTAAAATAAACAACAAAGACAAAACCAGGTACTGGAAGTAAAACTAATCAACCTTAATTTGTGCTAGTTGGAATGTAAGTAGACGAGTTCAAAACTTTCTAGTGAGTTGACTATGAAGACACATCACTGTAAATGCCTATACCTCTTCTGAGGCCTGTATGAACTCATATGTATGGGCTCAAGGCTCTTTGTGGAGTAAACACTGACAATCATGATTAAGGCTAACAGTTGAAAGAAAATACAGAGGCTTTTTGGGGTCAAGATCTGTGCAAGACATAAAACTCTTTTTATTTATATGTGTCCACTCTAGAAAAGAGGAAACGATTGTGAAAAGCATCCACAATATATAATTCCATCACATAGAAAAAGTACAAAATCTTAGTCCATAATTCTCTTCATGGATTTCTCTTTCCATGTGTGTTCTGCAGACCCGGTAGATTTGTCATGCTAGATAAGAATTAAAAAAAATAATAATAATAAAAAAGGACCTCTAGAGAAATATATATGAAACATAACAAAAATATTAAAAGGTTGATTTTAGGTTTACTGCTTACTAAGTAACATCTTACTGTAGCCTTTTAGCTCCTTTCTCCTTTTTGACTGTAGATGTATACATATAAGGACATGGATCATCTAGGACATGAAATGTTTTTTTCTTGTGAGTGTATATGCATTTTATTTCAAAAGTCTTACACAAGGTTTTCTTATTCTGAGCATAACCTGAATAATAAAGCAATATTTCGTTGTCTTAAAATAGGATAGTTAGTTAAGAACTAAAGATGAAGTTGTCCTACTCAGTTTTAGATTATGTACCTGAAGTGATTCAGACAGTGAGAATGAATAATTCTTTCCTTTCAGATCATATCGTACCTTGAGCAACAAGTAAGGTATCACATAGAAGTAAAATTTTGAAAATAGCAATAACCACCATATCCTACTATAACTTCAGGAATGTGCCACAGTCAGCTGAAGATGCTTATGAATTTTGTCTCCTAGTACAACATCACAAATACAGGCCTACTCTGTACTTTTCTGCCAATACGTTTGCTCAGTTTCTTATCAACTGTTCTGTTCTAATAGAGACAAGAGAAATGCAAATAGTACTGCGTTTCTGTTGATAGAGCTTGTATATTGCTGTATAACTAATGATTTTTGCACTTGTGCATATCTGTATTACAGATAATTATCTGTCTACTAGGAATTTATTAAAAGGCCAGTTGCACAGCCCAAAAAATTCATAGTTAAAAGGGGTTGCTGAGAAGAATAATGAAGCCTTTGAGCTATGCTACTTTCTACATTACTGTTTCAGGGAAGAAGAGTGAAATCATACCACCGACTGTGGCCATCTTTTCACCGTCAAAGCAGGAGATTCAACAGAAGAATAAGGCCACTCTGGTATGCCTGGCTTCCGGTTTCTACCCTGATCACCTCAGTTTAGTCTGGAAGGTGAATGGCAACAAGAGGACAGAAGGAGTGGGAACAGATGAGATTTCCACATCAAATGGGAGCACTTACACATTGACCAGCAGACTGAGAATCTCAGCCCAAGAGTGGTTCAACCCTTTGAACCGTTTTGAGTGTATTGCTGAATTTTTTCAAGATGGACAGAAATCAATACGTAAATTAATCCACGGTGATACTGGTGAGTAAAAAACATAAGAGTATCGCTGTGGTTTACATAGTTACATAGGAAATGCTAAGTCAAGGCTTGAAACAGTGATTGAGCACCTGGTACGAAGACAGGGCCAACCCAGGGTTGCTCAGTTGCATGCAGTACACCTGAGTGAACAGAAGGATTAAAGCCAGGATCCACCCCCTTCCACAACCTCATTTTAAGGGCTGACAGTGGAGGTGAGGATATCTCACTGGAGATCCCTGCCTACCTGAAGCCTCCCAAATGTAAGCAAATTTTCTTCCTTTGTTTCTGTGTCTGTGGCTGCTGCATTTGGGCTTGTCCTCTTTTGCTGCAGTAGAAGACTTTGCCACCCTGCTGTTATTGTCATACTTCCCATCACATTCTAGTATTACAGTGTACAAGTTAGAAATCACTTAAAAGAGGAAAAAAGAGGATATGGGTAATTTATTTCTATACAGTGGTTTGTTCATGAAACAAATATATTTGTAATTATATAGGTATTTGTATGTCTTCATATTCATAGCACCATGTATCTACAGTATTATCTATATAGAGAGAGAAATTTTCAAAGGTTTATTCAAATTTTCTTAGTGTAAGAACATAGTAAAATATAAAATATATACTAACGTAAAATGAAAAATACACAGTATAGTAAAATAAATATTGCAAACAGAAACGTCAAAAATATGTGTTTGTTCATACCAAAGAAAGATGTGACATTCTGTTTTTATTTGTCTTTCAGGATGTATGCTTACTAAAGGTATGTGTACTTTCTCACCTTCGCATAGGCAAATAAACGTCTGTATTTCAGTTTTCCTGATGGTAAATATAAGAGGTGAGAGAGATACATATTAAATTTCTTTCTTCTAGAAGATTAACTTATCCTTTCAGATCTGAGTGACACCTCTATTATTTAAAAACAAAAAAAAAAACAAAAAAAACAAGCAAAAAAAAAACCAGTAAAGGTTGGAGCAACATTCTGTACGATTCTTATCTACATTTACTTTTTGAAATAATGGAAGAAAATGTGGAATCTTTTCATGCCACCACTTGCCCTTTCTATCTCCCCCGTCTTCAACATCACCTTCTATAAGAAAGCTAAATGTTTATCTTTTTTCTAGCAGAAAGTTCATCCATGAAAGAAAAAAAATCATGCTAGCCAAGTGGTAATGACATCGAAATTGAAAATCATAGAGTCATAGAATGGCCTGGCTTGAAAAGGACCATAGTGATCACCTAGTTTCAACCCCCCTGCTATGTCTGGGATCACCAAACAGTAGACCAGGCTGCCCAGCACCGCATCCAGCCTGGCCTTGAATGCCTCTAGGGATGGGGCATCCACAACTTCCATGGACAACTTGTTCCAGTGTGTCACCACTCTCTGAGTGAAAAACTTCCTCCTAATATCTAACCTAAACCTCCCCTGCCTCAGTTTAGAACCATTCCCCCTTGTTCTATCACTATCTACCCATGTAAACAGCCATTCCCCCTCCTGTTCATACACTCACTTCAAGTACTGGAAGGCCACAATGAGGTCTCCCCAGAGCCTTCTCTTCTTCAAGCTAAACAATCCTATTTCCCTCAACCTTTCTTCATAGGAGAGGTGCTCCAGCCCTCTGATCATAGATGCCCTCCTCTGGATCCATTTCAAGAGTTTCCATGTCTTTCTTTTGCTGGGGGACCCAGGCCTGGACGCATTATTCCAAATCAGGCCTCACAAGAGCCTTTTTGAACCTCAATAGGTTTTCATGGGCCCAATTCTCCAGCCTGTCCAGGTCCCTCTTGTTGACTTCCCTTCCCCCTACTGTATTGACTGCACTGGTCACCTTGGTGTCATCCACAAATTTGTTGAGGGTGCACTTGATGCCATCATCTATGTCATTGATGAAGATGTTGAAGAGCACAAGTCCCAAGACCAACCCTTGGAGGACACCTTGGAGGTGACCTGCCTCCATCCCAACATGGAACCATTGATCACAAACCTTTGGCTGCAACCAGTCAACCAATTCTTAATCCATTGAACAGTCCATCTTTCAAATCCATATTTCTCCAATTTAGAGAGAAGGATGTGGTGAGGGACCATGTCGAAGACTTTGCAGAAGTCCAGGAAGATGGCATGCATCGCCCTTCCCCTGTCCAATGATGGCTCTACTCCATCATAGGACACCATCAGTTTGGTCAGGCAAGATCAGAAAGCCGTTAAAACAAAAGGCTAAATAGCCTTTAGTAGGCTAAATGTTATTTTGTGCTGTGTAAAACTTACCTGATATGAGAGAATCTACTGACAATAACAAGTGAAAACAAATGTATTTTGTAATTCAACTTACATCAATTTCCTAAGGGGGATTTACATGGCCAGCCTACATTTTTATCAGGTGTGGTAACACAGAGGTTAACCATTCCCAGTCAGAACATATTTTCTTATCATAAAGCCAGTCTGTGTCTTTTCTAGGATTGCTTTTTCCTGTCATGCTTTGAATCACAATATTCTTTCCCATTCTGTGCTATCTCAGATATCAACATAACCATTCATTTGACTGTAATTCCTTTGCTTAGTTAAAGATTTCAAGTATTTCTGGTATATTGTATCAAGTCTCTTCTGATGGTGATAATTTAATATGCAAATTGCATTTGTTTTGCAGAGTCCTACTTGCATTATGGAAATTCTATGAAGCTCACTTACCTCATTCTGTGTGGCAAAGCCTTCCTCTATGCAATTTTGGTGTGCGCTCTGATGTGGAAAGTCAAGGTACACTGATGTGTCACTTTCAGGCTGAGCTTGTTTACTAGTACAAGAATTAGTGGACCAAACAAAATTTACAAAAAATCACAAATAGTAAGTTTTCTGTTACAGTTTTTCCAGAGCTCAAACAAAATCAGTGCTGTCCAGCAGAGAAATTCTTTCTGAAAACATATGGAAAAAGATAAGAAGTAGTAAGCACAACTTCTACAGAAAGCAAAGAAGGGAAATATCAGACACATCATGCTTTTCTGTAATCACTGAGAAGGGACACTTGCCTGCAGCAAAAGTAAAATCAGGGTTTTGAAGAAGATACAAACAATGAATGGGATAAATCTAAAAGAAAATGGGAGAATTTTAGGTAGCTAGTAACAGACATAAAACACTTTTTATCTGTAATCTTTTCAAATTCCTGATAGATATTTCTGGTAAGAGTAGTGGAAGCCTCAGCACCAACTTCCTTTAGTTGTAGACTGGGAACTGTGTTTGAGAAGGGACATAATACAGTTGAGAGTGAGTATGAGTACAGCTCCAGTTGTTTTCAAGACTTTTTTTCCTCCTTTTTGAAGCCTACATGAGAAAGTACATTACTATTTATTATAGTAAATAAAATATTATTTATTTATTTAAAGTTATTAACTCAGTATGCAAGTAAATAATCTGTATGGGTACTTTTGTAGCAAGATATGTTCTTGCTACTAAGAAAGACTGAAGGAGCTACAACTTCACAGAAGCACAGTGTCACGTAATTGTAGGGGTTGAAATCAACCTCTAGATATCAGCCCTCTGCTAAAGCAGATTCTCTACAGTAGGTTGCACAGGAAAGTGTCCAGGTGAGTCTTCTTCCTTTTATTTATATGGAACTTCTTATGCTCTAGTTTCTGCCCCCTGCCCCTTATTCTGTTCCTGCATGACAGTGAAAAGAGCCTGGCCCCGTCAAAACTTGACGTGCTCATTTCTGTGCATGCTCTCAGGAAACATGACAGTACAGGCAGTTGTAAATTTGGACTGTTGTTTCACCATGCTCTTGCTTAATTATTTATTCTGTTTTGTTTTCATTTAGGCTGGTAGCAAGCCATATAAAGAATAAATGAATAATCTCCTCCATCACATCAACAGGAAAACAACAAATTCCACGTTTTTCTTTTCTGCAGTAGAGTCCAAGCTTCTAATGTCTTCTTTCTTGATGGTCCTCTGTTCTCTCCTGTTCTTTCAGCTTTGTTTTAATCACTGCCAGATTTCCCATGGACATGCAGGGTAATTTCTGTCCTAGCTTTAAAACACCTCTTTACTGCTCAGAGGTGTCAGTTTCTTAAATTAGGAATAAAGTTTGTGTCACTCCATTCAAGAAGTTTGAGTGTTTTATCCCAACTTGATATTTTGTTGCAATACTATTCTACATCACAACTTCAGTGGCACTTAGTATTGCAAAATATACACATTCAAATGTATACATTCAATGACAATACTGAGAGGAAGAATCTATCTGTTATGTGAATATTAGAAGGCTCATCCATTGCTGATATTGTGTTCTAGAAAATAAATTGGGGTTCCAAGCTTTAAAATCTTGCATGCCCCACTATCAGTGACTGAGAGAGTAAGGATCCAGGTCAACTGCTGGGAAACTGATAGTACACGTGTGGGTCTCAATGTGTGTGTCTGGGGGGAGGGAGGAGGAGGGATGGAAGTGAAGTTTTGTATCTTCAAAGGAGATAAGGAGAGGAGGTGAAAAGGAGAGAGTGTCAGTACGAGGAAGCAGAGTGAGGCTGTAGTCTTCAGAGTTTCATATGCCCCTCTACAAGCATGTGAGGAGACCAACGATTTAGGGCCAGTTCCTGAATAGCTGAGCAGCCCGAGTGTCCAAGGTGAGCTACTGGAGGGATTCACGCTTTGTATAGTTTCTGTTAGCAGACCTTTATCCTGATCAGACAGAGGAGAAAAGAGTGATGCAGCTGTTGATGTTTGTGTTTGCGTGGTGCTAAGTTTTTGTCCTTGTGTTACGTTGCATGACTGGCTGCTGAGGCAGGCAGATAAGCACCAAACAAGTGTTTGCTCACTCCTTCCAGCAGTGAGATGGGAGAGAGAACTGGAGAAAAAATAAAGCTCATAGGCTGATAGTTTGATAGGAAAAAAAAAAAAAAAGAAAAAAAAAAAAAGATGCACAATGTAATTGCTCCCACCTACTGCCCATTCTTCAGCGATGGAGCACCACCAATTCCTCTGTTTTTGTCACATGTTCTGGTCCCTTTGGCCAGCTTGGGTCAGCTGTCCTGATTCTGTCCTCTCTTTTGCACCCCCAACCTCCTCACAGGCAGGGCAGTGAAATAAGCTGAAAAGTCCTTGACTTAATGTAAGCACTGCTCAGCAACACTAAAATATTTGTGTGTTACCAACACAATTCGCATTCAGATTTCAAAATATAGCATCATAACAGCTACTAGGAAGAAAATTAACTCTGTCCCAGGAAAAGCCAGGACACTGGTTCTGTCAATGTGTATTTTTGTACTGTGTGTCTGGGTTATTTTGTTTGTTTGTTTGTTTGTTTTGTTTTGTTTTTATTTGATTTCTTTAATATAATTTATTTTTTACAATATATAATTTCCAGTGGATGGAACTGGGGACAGGGAATGGCGGCAGTTTAGTTTCTGTTGGGCTATTAGATTCAATAACAACAAATAAAACATTTGGAACTTAGAATCATAGAATCACCAAGGTTGGAAAAGTCCTCCAAAATCGTCCAATCCAACCATCTACCAACCACAAATATTTCCCCACAAAACCATGTCCCTTAGTACAACAACTAAACATTTCTTGAACATCTCCAAGAATGGGTATCCAACCACCTCCCTAGGCAGCCCATTCCAGTGCTTGACCACTCTTTCAGAGAAGAAATTTTTCCTAAAATTCAACCTGAATAATCCCCTGGTGCAACTTGAGGCCATTCCCCTCTAGTCCTGTGTGAGAGAAGAGGCTGATCCCCACCTCACCACAACTTCTTTTCAGGTAGTTGTAGAGGGTGATATGGTCTCTCCTGAGCCTACTCCTCTCCAGACTAAACAGTCTTAGTTCCCTTGGCCTAAGCTTAGCAATCCAGCATGGCCAGGTCCCTCTGTAGGTCTTTCCTACTCCCAGGCAGATGGACACTTCCTTCCAATTTGGCATCATCTGCAACCTTACTGAGGCTGCACTCAGTCCCCTCATTCGGGTGATCAGCAAAGGACAAGCCCCAGTACCAAACTCTGAAGAAAGCCACTTGTGACTGCTTGCCAGCTGGATTTATCTCCGTTCACCACAGTTCTCTGGGCCCAGCAATCTGTCCAGCTCTTCACTCAGCAAAGAGTGCACTTGTCTAAGACAGGAGCTATCAGCTTCTCCAGGAGAATACCGTGGGAGACAGTGACAAAGGCTTTGCTGAAGTGCCTTGACAATCACCTCTGCCTTCTCACTCAGCATACTCAAATGGATCCCTTCTAGCCCCATGGACTTATGACAGTCCAGGTGGAGTAGTAGGTCTCTGAATGTTTCCGTCTGAATGGTGGCTTATTCTGCTCTGCACCCCAGACTTCCAGATCAGAAGGATCCTTCCATCAGAATATCAGGATAACAAGATATCAGGATAACTGGTCCTACAATTAAAGACAGATGTAAAGAAGGCATTGAGAACCTCAGCCTTTCCCTTATCATCAGTGGTCATGTTCCCTGCCACATCCAGTGAAGAATGGAGATTTTCCTCAGCCCTCCTCTTACAGTTAATATATTTATATTAAATTTTTTTTTCTCTTATACTACAGTAGCTCAACCTGCTCCTGCACCTCGAAGACTTTCTCCCTGTGGAGTGTTCAGCCTTCCTGAACCCTTTTCTGTTTGGGGCAAAGTCCCAAGGGACTGTCCCTGTCAATATCCTGAATAGTTCAAAGTCCACCCTCCTGAAGGATAAGGTAGCAGTTTTTCTGACCCCCTTCCTGACTTCACCAAAATAGAATTTACCATTCCCTTCTAGCCCTCTTAGAGCCCCTAAGATGTCAATAGTGTACAGCACCACTTCAATAGGCAGTGGTACATTTTGCATTATTTTTAGGAAAAACAGGTTTCCAATATTTCATCCCCAGCTTCTCAAGCAGAATCAAGGATCAGTTTGACTGATTGCCCACGATCATGTCCAGATGGATTTTAATTGTCTCCAAGAATGACAATTCCACAGCATCTCTGTGCAATCTTCTCCAGTGTTCCTTCATAATTACAAGAAAAAAAAGAACCTGTTTCCTGATACTCAGTATATCCTCCTGTGTTTCAGTTTGTGCCAATTTTCTCTTGTCCTGTCACTGGACACCACTGAAAACAGCCTGGTTCTGTCTTCTGCAAAACATTTCTCATATATTTTTGCACAAAAATAAGATACCTACTTGAGCCTTCTCCTTTCTAGACTAAAGTTCCAGCTCTCTCAGTCTTTCCATATAGGATAAATTCTCCAGTTCCTTAATCAACTCTGTGTTCCTTCACTGAACTCTCTCCAATATCTGCATATCTCTCCTGGTTGTAACCCAGAATTGAATACAACAGTCCAGATGTGGCCTTATCAAATCACCTCCTTCATCCTGATGGTAAGACTCCTAATGCAGTCCAGAAAATGATTATTTTTCTTTGCTACAGGGGTATGTTGCTGTGCATAAACTTGCAGTTCAAAGTCTGTCCAAGGGACAAGACCAAAGACATGAAAATCTACACTGTTCCTATGAGGGGTACATCTAGAAGACAAGCTATCAACATTGTAGGTACATAGTTCACTCAGAGTACATGACCAGAGACAAGACTGGATAGAGTTTCACCTACAACATAGCTCACGCAGGAATTGAAGGCGTAGGTCTAATCTTAAATAGATATCCTGGTCTCATGTACAGAGGGTGAAGGATTAGGTCCTAAGTTAAGGTGATCAGGTACACTGCACCTATTGGCACACTCAGACTCTGACAGAAAGCATCAATATGAATCCTGCCTAAAATTACCACTCAGATAAAATTTGGCTTTGACTACATTTGTCCTGTTCTTAGAGGACTGTAGACAGTACGTACAGAGAACCGAAACACAGATCACAATTATAAGTAAGATTTTCAGGCTGCATCCACCAAAAATGTTAAAAAGTTTTCAGCCTAGTTACATACAACAGCGGGAAACTGGAAATTAAATGTTACCTAGGTAAAAAATGTGAATTGGCTTCAGATATAGATAAAATCAAAGAGATCGATCCACTGAGACGTGACTAACAAGGTCGATGTTGACTTATGCCAGCCATCTAAGCCAGAGAAAACAGTTGAGACAAGAGTTCCTCCAGGTAAACACATTAATGAATATCCAATACTGTAAAAGACTGATCCTGAGTTGCGTGTTATAAACCAGGTGACCTCAAAGAACACAAAAACACCAATGAGTGAGTGTCCTGTTCACCCAAGTCCAGGGTGCTGGCCACAACTTATACTGAAGAGTCTGACTGCTGGGTTTGCTGTACAGAGCATGTGTATGCATGTGCATGTCAGAAATCTTAGGATAAAACCTTCTGTCCAGCTGTCACACTCATTTTAATATATTAGTAGATTTATTTTAGATACTATGTCACTTGATGATATTGTTTTCTTCTTGTGACTGCCTTGTCACTAAATTACCCCCTGACAGAAACTGTAATCATTTTTTTAGTGCACCTGTACTGTTTATCCTCTTACTGGTATTTAGCATCTGTTTGGTATGATCATACACATCTGTGTCTTTCTAGTTTTCAGTCTGTCACAGCCATCTTCCTGCTTCTTACCAGATATATATACAAGATTGGAGATTGGATTCCTGAGTGGCAATGTGTTGGAGAAGACAAATGGCACAGTGCAATTCAGCATGCAGAGATACAGAAGCATTTCTATTTCTATCCCAACAGTTGTCTTTGAAAGTCTTGACAGTCAAGACCATTAATTTTCCATAGTACAGTCAGTATAAGAACAGACTTATAAATATTTTCTGAAATTTTTCCTCAGCCTCTTAAGGTAGACTTGAAGAAAGCATTGCGTTCAGTCATCATAAGAACACTGGCAGGAAAGTCTGATGCATTTCTTTGGAAGGCGTTTACAGAAACACTCCTTGAAAAGGGTAAACTGATGCTCCTTGAGGAGTTCACTCAGCCAGAATGGATAGACAAAAGACAGAGATCTCTCTCCTCTTGGAGAGGTCGCGAACATGAAAATTCTTTGATCCCATGATAAAATCCTGGTGGTGTTCCTATTTTTCTTCACACAGGAAGATTTGTAGTCTAGACTTCATTGCAGCCCTTGTAAGTAGAAGGAATATTTTGCTTATTCCATCATTGATCTATAGATATTTCCACCATGAGAGGACACCATTCATACAGGAATCAGCTAGTTTTTGATCATTACTTAATGGCCACATGGGAACCATACTGCTTCAAACAGTATCCATCTGCTCCTGCACGGAGACCTTTAAGATTCTACCTGGCTGGTGCATGAGGAGAGATGAAAGCAATACTATCACATGAAAAGCAAAACAATTTTGACAGGTCTACAACACTGTTCTTGCTAGGAAAAAAGCACTAAGTCAGACAAGTAACTTCTAGGAAGAGCTACAAGAATGCCATCTAACTCCCACTCCCACACTATCCTTTAGAAAATACAACAGGATACTCCTTTGGATGTAGGATGGACTATTTTCTAGCAGAGTTTGATGCTGGACCCTAGCAGCAGTACCAGATGAGGAAAAGAAGCCTGTACTTTTAACAAATACATGGATTTTTTTGTTTTGTTTTGTTTTTTGTTTTTTGTTTTTTGTTTTTTTTTTTTGTGAAAGAGTATGAAAGGGCTGTACGAAAATTAGGCAGGAGGGAAGTTGAGGGAAATAAATGCAGGATGGGTGGATGGGTGAGTTCCAGAAATTCAAGTGTTTATTAGCAAAGCTTAGTGATGGCAGAAAGAGGAGAGATTCAGTGCTTCTGCTTTTATTTACAAAAGATGCCTCAGGCTGAATTCTCAAACTAATGCTGAGAAGCAGGATACAGAAATGAAAACAGTTACTTCCTGGATAGGCTGGGTTGGCTGGATACAGTACCTCCTGAAATCATATTCTATATATTTCTGCAAAAAAGTACATTTTTTTCTAATACAGATGAGAGTAGAAAGATTCCTTCTGTATGTGATCTAGTGGGAGATATGATATATCCTGGTATCATAGAGGTTTTATGTGCTGTTGATAGTGGCAGCCAATTCTGGTACTTCTTCAAATTACTGTGCAAACTCACCACTGAACTTCGGACAGGGCACCCATCTGACAGTGCTTGGTAAGTCTCCTTTGTATGTTTATTTGTTACTCTAGGATAAAACTGACTCATTTTTTTCCTGCTTTGTGCCTGTCATTTCCTTCACCTCCTCAAAATACTTTGCTTTGAAACAGGTGGGAATATCATACTGAAGAAATTCAGTTGGTGCTCTGATTATAGCTGTTACTTACGTAGTCTTATGGCTGGTTGAATCAAAAGGATGACTTGTCTTCAATAAACTCCTTTTCACAAGACTGCCTTTATGGGTCAAAGTTACAAGGCACGAAGAAAAGAGGCCTTTTTGAAATCATCTACTAAACAGTTTAATGATCCTCTATAATTTACATAAAATCTTAGCATTTTTTATTCACCTAGGAAGGAAACTTGAATTGATTTCTCTTTCACATAAACTCGGACTATGAGAAGCATCACGGTAATTTGGATTTTGGCTTATAATATTTTAGAAACAAGTGTTTTCAAAAAATGTTAACAGTGCTTAAACACTGCCCTTTAAGTTTAGAGCAGATATCGAGAGGACTGTTACAAGTCAGGAAATGCCATTTACAGTGTATATTTGAAATTAAAGAAAGACAGAAACACTACTTAGAAGAATTCTGTCTTCCAGCTGTTTTTGTTTAAACCACTATTTCCTACTTTAGTCAAGCATGTTTAAATTATTCTCTGTACAGTGAGCAGGATGATCAATCGTACAGCTGCAGTTAATATTTTCAGAACTATTTTTTTGCTATACTTGTACTCATAATTGTAAAAGGTGTTCCAAGGTTTTTGGGTATTTTTTTCTTCTGAGAGTATCAAAGCTGTATGAAAAAATAAAGTAGGGGAAAAAAAGAAAAAGAGAAACACAAACAGGAAAGTATGTGTGAGAAAGCCCGTAGAAGAAAGAACAAGATGAGGAGAATTTATTGAGTTGTTCTGATTCTTGAAGTAAAACCCATTAACCGGAGATAAGGGCACTAATACTCTGTTCAGGAGTTGAAAGATAGATTAGTGATCTCCTGTGATCATATTTCAAAGATGTCAGAAGTTTCAGAGGGGAGAAGAAGAAATGGGAAGTTTATGGAGTCTTCTCTATCCTCAACTATTCAAACTCTCACATTATTTCAATGGATGGTGCACACTGTCTTATTATGTTTTCCCACTCAACTTCAGACAGTTCAACTTCAGACCTCAATGATTACAATGAGTGATAAGTGGAGGCTGACAGCAAATCTGAGTGTGTCTGCCATTTCTTTTTCACCCTACTTGTCACAGGTTTTTGTTAACACATGCCATAGGTACTGATCTTTCTGTGGAAGCTACCTTTTGCACATTCAAAGAACCATTTCCCAAGGAACATGTGTAGTACAATTTTTTTCTGGTGGCTCTGACAAGACTTTACATTGAAAATTCCACATGGCTTTAGTTCAGCACCACTTAAAGTATTGAAAGTCAGTGTTTTCATAAATCTCTTGCTTAAAAACAGAGGTTTTTTTGTATGTTCATGGAAAAGAGGATTCTTTAAATGAAAAAATGCTTTTGTAGTTACACTTGAAAGAAAGAGGAGAAAATGTACTAAAGGTCTACTAGGAAAGGATGGACAGAATCTTCTCAATGGTCTGAATATTTCAATGCTGAAATATCATGCTTTATCTCCTGCGGCTTGTGCATCTCCTTCAAAAGTAGCTCTTCTTTGTATGGGGGAACTACAATATAGAAAATTTGTGCCAACATGAAGGATGAAGACAAGGACCTCAAACATTTTCATGTGAAGGTCAGCAACAATATCATATTTTGAAAAAGAAATACAATTCACTTTTCTAGGTAAGAAAAAATGTGTATTGGAAAATTTTATATTAGGAGTTTCAGGAAAGACAGACCAAGGAAGATGCAGTTAGCAGAGATTTCAAAGAAGAAGGGGACAAATTAAACAATTCATTTTACAAGATTTCCCATGGAAAAGGATGTTTTTATATTTAATCTGTTATGATCTTAAATCTGTAGAAAGTAAGCAAGATTAATATAAGACATTGGAATCAGAATAGTGAGATGGCATCAAAGAAGAGAGCTCAAGCCAGATAAGACATGTTCTGGAATAACATATATTTTATCTGCAATGCAGAACTCCTGGAGACTTCACATAATATTCTGGTTGTCTTCTGCTAAAAATAAATGATACTCCTGACCAAATCTTTTCCCCAAATTAGATTGCCTCCAGAATGAACCAATCCTTCTTATTCCTATGTTATTCCTATCTCCCATTGTCATATCTGGATAGAATGTGTGTCCATGGGACTGGGAGCAATGTACTTCTACTCAAAAGTAATCGGCAAAAGATATGGAGGCTGGAGGGAAAGAAAGAGAGAGCATGTCCAGAAGGTGTATGGATCTTACATTATGTAGCTTTATTCCTAAAAACATGTGAGGATTTATCAGTGTCAAAGTGCAGTGGTAGACAATAGAGTTTTCTATTGATGACGGACACACGAGTAGTCATTTTTATGCTTTCATCCAAATCATCATTAGAACAAAATGCAGAATATTTAATGAAAAAAAGATAGCTGATAGACCTTCTTTTCAGCACATCTTTGGGTACTACTGGACTACTGGATAAAAAGAAAAAAAGTCAAATTTGAAGTTTTAACATGTTGATCACTGGACAGGAGTGAGCAGTTTTGATATTACACTGTGAGGCTGTGTTCTGTTAATATCCAGTATTTTGGAGAAGGAACAAAAGTGACAGTTCTGGGTAAGTGGGACTCGTGAGAAGTGTGTGTTTTGTTGTGCAAGGGGAAGGTTCTAGGGCTGTAACAGTGATAACTAAGGATCTCTCCTTACTTATTTATAATATATAATATTAATAATATATAATATTTAATTATTTAATTTAATATATAATATTGAATGGTTTAATTATTTATTTATGATTTATGATATTATATCCTTTATAATATATATAATATATAATTCAGAGGATTCAGATGAAGGATCCTCTCTTCAGAATTTCTATTATTTATGCTCTATAGTTAGCACAGACTAGAATGGAATATAAAAACTCAGTTGGTATGGAATACGAACAGAATGCAGTATACAAGTAATTCCAACTCTTTCTGGAACGCAGAAAGATGGATATGATATATAAGAACATTTGGTGAAAATGGCTGTATTTATTTAAGCTCACCAAAAATATCCTGATGAACCTTATGCTCACAAATAAGCTTACAGAGTGGTTTTAGTGGACCTTGATTAGACTGAATAAGGGACATATTTTTGAGTGGGCATTTTAAAGTAGTACTGCAGTTAAGAGTTTTGTGTAAGAAAGAAAGAAATATACCAAATACTAGAGAGTTCCTTTAAGATTCTGAAGTGAAAAGTGGGAACTTTTGGTGGGAATTTAATTGGCAAAATCTGGTGATCCTCACTTGGATTCTCTTGAAGAGCACAGAAAGAAAAGAGACAGGCAACACAACACGTTTAATAATAGGTAAGAAGAGGGGCATGACCGAATGAACCTACTGTGCTCTTGCTCTTCTAAAAGCACACTAAGAAAACCAGTTAAAAGATACAGGTAGTGTGCTAACTAGAAACAGTTTGAGAGAAAGTGACCTGCATGTCCACCTACAGGAAAACTGGGAAAATGCAATTTTTCTCAAATTAGACAATCTAATGCTCACCCTGGACTGTACCATTTGATCCAGAGAACAAAAACAAGTATCCAAACATTGAAATGCTGCTTTCATTAAAATGAGTGATTAATCTTCAATAATTTTCACTATTTGCAATATTTCACTTCTTATTTTCAATCAGACATCTATTTGCACTACTTAGATTTGTTGATGTTATTTTTACAATGTCCGGCTGTCCATCTGCTGTCTGGCTATTAAGATTTCATAAGGATTCCTATCAGACAGATGGAGAAAGAGGAAAAAAAAAGAAAGAAATAGTTAAATGAATCTGAGAAAGTAAATCAGAAAGAATTGAAAATGCTAAAAAGAGAGAGAGAGATAATTCTGTAATACCATCCACAGGGACATAAGAAAAGGTAAATGTGATTTATGTCACAAAAAATTTCTATAGCAGGGGAAATTTTACGTACATATACACACAAAACCAAAACCAGTCAAGTATTCACACTTTCAGATACAGACAAGTAGACTTTGGGTTTACAATTTAACCCTGTTTTTCTCTGATCTATATTCTTTTCCATACTGACATCAATTGCAAGGAAAAGTAAGAGAAAGTTTTAATAGAAAAGATGGAGCTGAGGAATCCTGTGAGATGGGAATGAGAAGCACAGTTGAAAGCCTATTGGCTTTTCTTCATGATATAACAAACTTCGATACATATATATATATATTTGCATCTAATTAAGACACAAAGGATATAGTCCTCTTTTTTATTTCCAGGATGAGAGGAAGTACAATCACCATTGCAGAATTGAGCCTTCACAATTTAAATCCATATTTTACTCAGTAGATGGTAAAGGAAGATTTATTCATAGAATCATAGAATGTTGGGTTGGAAGGGTCCTCAAGGATCATTAGGTTCCAACCTCCCTGCCACAGGCAGGACTGTCAACCGCTAATCACGTAGTAGATCAGGTTGCCCAAGGTCTGATTTAATCTGGCCTTGAATGACTCCAGGGACAAGGCACCCACAGCCATTCTGGATAACCTGTTCCAGCACCTCACCAGCCTATCTGACTTTCCCCTGATATCTAATCTAAATCTTCCCTCCTTTCATTTAAAACCATTCCCACTTGACCTATAACTATCTACCTGCCATCTTCTATGTCATTGATAAATATGTTAAAGAATACTGGTCCCAAGACAGACCCTGGGGGACATCATGTGTCACCAGCCTACACCTCGATGTAAAGCCATTGACCACAGCCTTCTGATTGAAACCTTCTAAACAATTTCTTATCCATCAAATAGCCCACCCTTCAAATCTATATCTCTACATTCTTTCATATTACATTTACTTTTTTTTTTTTTAAATATCATTGCATCTTGTTATTTTGCTCTACATATGAGCAATATTTTGTGACATAAATTAAACTGCCTGACATGCCTTTGACCAAAGAAAGAACCCCCTCTCCCCACCCGTCCACCCCTCCAAAAAAAACAACAATCACATTCACTCATGGTTCTTCTGAGAAATTAGGTAGATTATTATTATTATTATATATAAAACTAGGTAGATTATTGGTCTGTGGGACTCAATTTATTTGCTTGATTGTTTCTTTTTATTCTTAAAACTGTAGGACAAGGATGGCTTAAGGTGAAACCAGGCAAGACATTTCAGAAAAGTCTTCACTGAAAACCCAAGAAAAAGAGAATACACAGACATAAAAAGACTCAATACATGGTGAAATCAAAGGATGAGTTTGGCTCCTACTCATCGTTCAACTTAGCGCAAAAGAAAAGAGAATTAAATTCTTTTTTTTTTTTTTTCCAATTAGCAGCTCAGCTTTATTAACTTTGGCAATCTGGACTGTATCCAGAAAAAAAGTTTCATACATGCTCTGTACATTAACATTTTGAATACTTGAGCCACATTCTATTCAAATTTTGTATTGATTTTCATTCAAATGGCACATATAGCACAGCGTATTTAGTATACACTATACAAAGATACTATAATCAAATGTGTATATAACCGTCTTTTAGCCTGAAGTCCATGAACTTGCACACTCAGCTCTATAGTTCTTATTTAATCTTGAATTTGATGTCTAGCTTCCAGTAAAAATACTTCTGCAAAAACAAATTAACAAACAAAACCCACCATGGTTAGTTTTTCGTTAGTTAAATCATTAATGGAAGCTCTGAGCTACACTGCTTTCCATTTCAGGGAAGGACAATGAAAAAATCATACCACCGACTGTGGCCATCTTTTCACCGTCAAAGCAGGAGATTCAACAGAAGAATAAGGCCACTCTGGTATGCCTGGCTTCCGGTTTCTACCCGGATCACCTCAGTTTAGTCTGGAAGGTGAATGGCAACAAGAGGACAGAAGGAGTGGGAACAGATGAGATTTCCACATCAAATGGGAGCACTTACACATTGACCAGCAGACTGAGAATCTCAGCCCAAGAGTGGTTCAACCCTTTGAACCGTTTTGAGTGTATTGCTGAATTTTTTCAAGATGGACAGAAATCAGTACAAAAATTCATCCATGGTGATACTGGTGAGTAAGACATATACAGAGCTCATTCTTTGTAGGCTCCTTCCTCCAGGGCAATTAGTCATTACTTCAAGTATGTTTCTTGGAAGTCTAGCACATTTAACTAGATCTGTCAGTAACTAAAAAATTGAGAGCAATCAACAGAATCTGATCATGTTTTTCTCCAAATTGGCTAAAAGCCCTATCACTCTCATTCCCTCACACACCCTCTATTATAGAAGGAATTGAATAAGCACAATGAAAGATGTTCTGTTTAATATTTGAACTCAATTAATAATTCCTCTTTCTTTCTTTCTGCATTTAGGCTGTTATATCTTCAGAGGTAAGTTAAGTCATTCATTTTTTTCCCCCTCTCGACAATTAATCTGTTCATCTATGCAAAAAATGCTCACTGAAAGATGAGTCTTCAGTACAAGTGTCTAGACGACTACTGTGCTTTTTTTCCCTGTCATATACTTCCATTTATACTTGTGCACACAGATGCAGGTACAAGTATATACATATCCATTTATGTTCTTATGTATGAATGTGTGAACATTCAAATTTTGTCTGCTCTCATGAAACCTTCCATGAGACTGAAAGCCCAAACTGAACATTTTAGTGTAAAATATCACTGAGAGCAACAAAGTTATATATAACATGAAGATGAGTGCTGATTTTCTAGTGAGAAGTTAGGTCACCGACTTAACTAAGTCATTCCGCAGCATGTTGTCTCCTTAGATACTCTGCAGAATTAGAATAAATGATATTCATATGTGAAAGACTCCAATCCAATTTCATTTGATGTCCCACCCAAATTCTCTTTATTTGGACAATTTCCCAATCAGTTCCACCACTATGAATGTTGTAGTAATAATAATAATAATAGTAATAATAATAATAACAACAACAACAATATAGAATACAGTAATAACCTTGTCCAGGAAATTTCCCAAAGGAATGTTTACTCTTTATTTTTATTTTTCTCCCATTTCAGAAAACTACCAAAGAAGTGCTACAGCTGGGAAGTTTGTATACATAATGCTCATTTTCAAGAGCTTTTTGTATGGGATATTTGTAATGGGGATGATGCTTTGGTACAAGGTGAGGATAGAAGTTCTTCCACTCTGTACATATTTATCCTAAATCATTCTAACTGTACCTGAGAAAACCTTGGACAAACAGAGGTCTTACAACTGATATTTATATAAATCTATCTATCTCTCTTAAACACGATTGAATATCTCATTAATTTTAAGAGAAAAAGCTAGCAAGGATGACGGGAAGGGCTTTAGGAAAAAATAAGGAAATACGACAGGGAGTTATTGCAAAAGACAATTAATTAAGTATTATCAAAATGTATGGTCTCTTAAAAGACAAGAAAAAATGAAAAATAGAAATGTGAAACAACACTTAAGAAAAATAAGAAAGAACAAAGAAAAGAAAAGAAAAGAAAAGAAAAGAAAAGAAAAGAAAAGAAAAGAAAAGAAAAGAAAAGAAAAGAAAAGAAAAGAAAAGAAAAGAAAAGAAAAGAAAAGAAAAGAAAAGAAAAGAAAAGAAAAGAAAAGAAAAGAAAAGAAAAGAAAAGAAAAGAAAAGAAAAGAAAAGAAAAGAAAAGAAAAGCAGAAGAGAATTTAATTTATAAGGGAAGAAGAAGGGAAAATATAAGTGGTTCTCTAAAGCTGTATTTATAAGCACCATTGATTTGTTGTTGGAATCAATTCTTTCCCTTCCCTTCCCTTCCCTTCCCTTCCCTTCCCTTCCCTTCCCTTCCCTTCCCTTCCCTTCCCTTCCCTTCCCTTCCCTTCCCTTCCCTTCCCTTCCCTTCCCTTCCCTTCCCTTCCCTTCCCTTCCCTTCCCTTCCCTTCCCTCCCCTCCGCTCCCCTCCTCTCCCTCCCCTCTCCTCTCCTGCCCTCCCCTGCCCTTCCCTTCCCTCCCCTCCCCTAAACCTGTTATATGAATACAGATGAAATAATCATCTTCCACCTAGATACATTATGAATTCTAAATACTTTTGGAAAAAATATTTTTGTTGCAAATAAAATAGTCTAGTTCTTCTATTTGTAACAAGAATTGAAACACTAGTAGACTGACCTGTGGAAAAGTCATTTCTTCCTTTCTCACTCAAAGATTCATTTACATAACAATCATTGCTTGTATTTCAGCAATTCTCAACGGCTTATCCTTAATTTCTTGTTCTTTTCCTTCTTTTTTTTCAGAAAATGTACTAGATATGCTTTGCCCTGAAGAGGAGGATAGATATTACGCAAGTAGAAAGCCTCAAGTCTTCGTATAAACGTTCTGATTTGCTTCAGGAACCAATAAAACTATATGGCAATCTCAACCTATTTTAGCTTCCTTTCAAAATTATCTTCTGATAAAAGTCTATCCTTAATAAGGCTTTCTGTATTTTCCTATTAAAGCTATGATAGCACAACAGAAATGTTTGATTTCTGCTGTTCTCTAAGAACAGAATGGGTACAATTGGCTCTACAATTGGTGATGTATAAAAGAAGTACATCTGTGCTTTCAGAGATGAAAACTTGGTACTCCAACCCAGGTCCTCATGACACATTTTAAAATGAATATGGCATTATAGAAGGAAAAGGTGCAGGAAGGAAGAAGTCAGATGGGGAGGGAGGAGGAGAGAAAAACAGGGAAGGAGAGGAAGAAGAAGGCAGAAGAGAGAGGTAAAGGGAGCAGGAAGAGAGAGAGATGAACGGGGACAGTGAGGGAGAGGGAGAGGGAGGGCGAGGAGGAGAGAGGAAGTGGGAGGGAGAAAGGGGGAGAAGGAAGGTAGGGCAGGGGAGGGTTAAGAGAGAGATAGGTGGAAAGAAATGAAGAGGGAAGGGTGAGATGGATAGTAGAGGGTGAGGGGAGATGGAATGGAGAAGAAGGTTGAGGGTAGCAAAGTGAGTGCTGTCCCAAACAATAATGAATATTATTGTTTAATATAAACAATAAATAATGAAAATAAGCAAGTATTATTTTCAAAGATAAACCACAATACCCTCTCCTCTTCCTGGACAGTATATAGATTTGCAAACATTTAAAAAATACTGTCTTTGCTAACGGCACTAAACATATAAAACCGAACCATTGTGCTGCACATTGTCACAGTGTGTACCTGTAGGAATGGAGAGAGCAGAAAAATGAAAGTAGAACATAATTCTCAAGAATATGAGATTATTTTACTTGAAAACGTTAAATCATGTTTATTGTTTTTAAAATGAAAGACAGAAAGTAGGAGGAGAGGAGATTAAAATAACAACTGGGAAGACCTGTAGGTGTCAAGATTAAATTGGAAATATATGTCAAGGAGATTATTGCGAAGAATAAACAGTAAATCCAAGAGATTATTAATCTTTGAGAGTGCCTCTGGAGATCTTTCATCCACTTTGCATCTCATTAAAATATTAGCTTGTGGCACAACTTACACAATTAGTGATTCAGAAGAACCTCGCTTGGAAATAAATGGAAAACAATGATACATTTTATTCATAGGTATGAATAGGTACAGGAGTAGTGCAGGCCAACAGATAGGAGTACTGGTAGAATTTTGGAAGCAGAACAGTTGTGAAAGTAAAAGCGAGGCAAAATGTATAGGAAACAAAGAGATCCTGAGGGGATAGCCAGGGTCTTCAAGGAGAAAATATAGCCAGGTAAAGTATCTCTGAAGGCCTCTGCAGAAAATGTTGCTACAGGATCATAGAAGGGTTTGGATTGGAAAAGACCTTGAAGGTTGTATAGTTCTGATCCCTCCCTTTCATGCGTAGGTAGGGGTACCCTCAAATCTCAAAGCTCTGTTCAACCCAGAGATGAACAATTCCAGGGATGGAGAATCCACAACTTCTGTGAACAACATGTTCAAGTGCCTTACCATCTTCATAGTAAAGAGTTTCTTGCTAACATCTAATCTAAATCTCCCCTCTTTTAGTTTAAAACCATTACCCTTTGTCCCATCCACTATCAGACAGTAAAAAGTCAGTCTCCCTCCTATTCATAGTCTCCCTTCAAGTATCAGAAGGTCACTATGAAATCTCCCAGGAGCCCTCTCTTCTCCAGGCTAAAAAAGCCCACCTCCCTCAGCCTGTCTTCACAGGTGAGGTGCTCCAGCCCTCTGACAATTTTTGTGACCTTCCCTTGGGGCCAATATCATGATGATCTTTTTATGTTGGGGTATGGAGTAGGGGGGAAGAATCACCTCCTTCAACCTGCTAACTGCAGTTCTTCTGAAACAACCCAGGATATGGCTGGTTTTCTGAGGTGTAAAAACATGTTGCCAGTTCACACTGAGTTTTTCATCAACCCACACCCACAAGTCCATCACCTCAGAGCAGATGGTGTGCCTAAATGAGCTTGAAAACCTCTTTAAGTGAACAGCAGTTGAGTTTTAGCTAAAACAGGATGTGGTTTGACATTTACTCAAAAAGATACTTTGATAACTCATTGGCCTCTCTTACCACAGCAACACCCCAACCTCTCAGGATGAGGCATAAGGGAGCAGCTGTCAGTTCACCACATTACAGTTGAACAGAAATAGCAACGTATATGAGTCTTATGAAAGCCAATGGGGTTTTTTGTCTTGTTATCACACAACCTTGTTGTTGAAGTCTGCAGATGGCTTTTGCATGCGCAGCTGCTGTTCCTGTTGTGCAACAACCACAAAAAAACAAAGACTTGTGTTGCTGATCAGCTTTTTTTAAATAAAAAAAAAAAGTGATTTCTAGGTGTCTCAGAACAACAGAACAAGATAACTTGATGAAAATTTTGATGGAAAAAGACTACAGGAGATGTTTCAATAAATATTACTGTTCAAAATTGATTAATTCAAAAGCTATATCATGTTTCTCAAGGCTTTGTCCAGGTGAATTCTGAATATCAAGGACAGAGATTTGGTGATGATCTCTCTGAGAAACTTCCTCCAGTGCTGAAGCACCATCGAGGGGAAATATTTTTTCCTTACATGTAATGAATTTCTCTTACAGCATGTTGTTCCTACTGCCCTTTCACTATGTCCCTCCAAAACTTCAACTCTGTTTGTATTAAGGTCACACAGTTAGCCAACCTTTAGTCTACTCCTCTCCAAGCTGACCAAAATTAACTGCCTAAGCATACCTTCTCATTCCCTGAGCATATCTTCTTTTCTAGCTCCCGGATCATTTTAGTTCAGGTGACCTCTCTTCAATTTGTTGATATTTCTCTTGTACTGGGACTGTGGCAGGGTAAGTTGGTGTATATGGAAAGCAGATATAGCTTTGAGATATATCTTACAAATATCACATTGTGACAGTTGACAGATAATCGTTTGCCCTACGGCACTTACAGTATAATTTAACAAAATTCAGATTGATACAAGAATAACATCAGAATGTGGATGCTGTGTCTATATTTATTTAATGGCTGCATTCTACATAGGTCGTGCTGGAAATAATGCCATCTGTTTATTTCCAAGGAAATTACAACAAATACAAAAAGCACAATAACAGTAATTCAGCTACAAAGCACTATTTTTCAGCAAAGCCACCACCATCAGCTATGCATTTTCACTGTGATAAAAAAGAGTTTGCATGCTTTACTTATATAAATCTGCACCAGCAGAGGTGATCCAATGTTTCACAGCTGTCACAAGGACATTGTTGCTAGCAAGAAGATCCCATTACAGTCCAACTTTCACTGTGTTAACATACACTGTTTGGTCTTCTTAATAGATTAATAGGTCCCTTCCAACCCAAACCAGTCTAGGATTCTATGAATGTTAACAGGTGCAATTTTTTTCCTAATGAAGGAATTCAGTTCCATACTGTTGCTTCATATGCAATTCCACGTCAGATATCATTTTGTCATACTGTCCCTCTGCTGCCATCTGTGACAGGGAAAAAAATACAACAGAACATAGGCAGGAAGGCTTAACCTCCTAATTTTCACTCTGATGTAGTGGAACAACATATTAAAAAAGGAAAAATTATTTTCAGAGTAGTCATTGTACATCCTTTATTTAAGCCCTTCAAAAACTACAGACTGGAAAGAGAATATTCTTATTGTTTATTTCAGGACTATCGAACTATGCAGTTGGATTTTACAGTATATCACAAGACCTTTGCTTGGTGCTTTCTTACTGGCAAAAATTTAGGAATACATCATTGAACGCTTACACCTCAACAGCAATAAACAGCATGAAGGACACAGGGAGAGGGGTGGAGAGAGGTACTGCTTTAGGATCCTTAACAAAAAAGACACTGATTGGTATTTGTGTGTGATTTTACATTGTGCATGTATGAAACATTCCATCGAGAAATCACACAGTAAATGAAATCACCTTCTGCTTGCTCCTCCTTCTACTTTTTTTGTCTTCAAAAAACAGATGTTTAAGACTTGCTCAAAATAAAAGAGAACTGTGAGAACTTGCAAGAGGAAATGTCACAAGGTTGCCAGAAATGTGCTCACAACTCATCCATGGATGGAAGGAGTAAACTAAATGGACAGAGATTGTCTTACAGCTTATCAAGCTGCAGCAAAGACATAGGTTTGAGGCATAAACGGATAGATGTAGCATGTATAAAACTGATGCTTCATGCAGTAGAAATCTGCACTGTGCAAGCAATTTCTGAATAAAAACATCAATTTCTGAATAAAAATGTATATCAGTGCTTGATATCAGGACAACCTTTCCATGCACAGTGAGTATCATTGTATGTCTGGATTTGATTGACAAACTTTGAGAACTGTCATGACTGATAGAGGGTGAACTGCTGATCAGAAAAGAGGAATTCAGCAATGAAACGGAACCTGCTTGACCTCTCTTGGACCAGCTCCTCAGCAGCCTATGTTTTGTGAGTAGCCACTTGACCTACATACCATGATCCTGTGCTGAAGCTACTCCCTTCTGAGGAAAGGTACTGGAGAGGAGTTTATGTACAGAAGGCAAGTGACTTTGAAGTGTTGTGTCCAAACTTGAGGCACAGAAATAGGTAGCTGAATGGTTCTTCATCACAGACATGATATCTAAACGGAAGTATTCTCGGCTTATCCGCTTAGCTTCGTATCCAGTGTGAATATCACCCTTATATTCCTGATTTGCTCCATAGGAATAATAGATTAACTGCAGCCCCTTCCCTTGTTGCTGCAGATACCAGTACATATTATCGTGATTGTCATTTTGACTGCATCCCAGGGTAGCACTCTCATCCTCTTTCACAACCAGACTTGAGTTTTGTGTTATCTTAGCTCCTGAGAGACAAAGCAAAAGGAACACAGTTAGAAAGCGGACTGCATTCTCCCCCCAGCAGAACAGGCATGATGTCTCAGCTGATGCCTTACTTGCTCCAAAGAAGCACAAGACCA